AACGCGGCCCGGGAAGGGGGCAATGGGGGGGGGGGTCTATTGTAAACCCCAGTACAGTAAAAATAAGACTGGGAGAGGGAGGGGCGCCATTAAAAGCCAATCAGATGTACTGTATACACATGTGCTGACAGGGACCATGTTGACAGCATGAAGAGCAGCAAAGGGTAAACTCATAATCCTGCTGTTGCTCCTTCACTGTCTAATCACAGGCTGGAGGCAGAGAGGTGACCTATGTAAGTTGTTTAACTGTAACAGATCAAATCAATTTCGCAGCAGTCACCTTTAATCTATTAAAAGTATTTATACAGTGCTGACAAATAACGCAGTGCTTTTAACTATGGTACATCAGATCCTGCCCTCGAGGAGCTTACAATCTAATTTTCCAATGTGGAAACCCACTGAACAACAAGGAGAACATGCAAACTCCATGCAGGTAGTGCCCTGGTGGTGCTAATCACTAAGCCACTGTGCTGCCTTCCAAGTTTTCTCTGGATTTCGTGGGTAATATATAACACATATAAAAACTGTAATATATTTACAATTAACCTCTTATCGTTACTATTGTAAATAGAATATTAGCAATGTACCTAAAGAAAAGATCTCCCAAAGAAGTATTCCATAGGACCAGACATCACTTTCAAAAGTATACACGCAATGAAATATACTTTCAGGAGCCATCCACTTCACGGGGAGCCGAGCCTAGGAAAACAGGATTATGAGTTCTAGTTAATCAGTGGCAATGATGATAATGTATTTACATTGAGATAAATATGAAAAGGAATGTTGCTTTAAGGTAGCTTGGTAAATATTTTCTGACCTAGAAAACCTCTTTTACCGCAGTTATACTAACCCAGATAAAAAAGGCCACATCACAATGGTTGCTCTCCATATACAAATCACGTTTTAACAACACTTTTGAATTCTAAAATGTCTGTTGTAGCAGATTGTAATTCAGATATTCTTAGCAGTTCACTTCAGTATTTGCTGATATTATAAGACAGACCAAATCACTTGGTTGTGCAAACATCAACAAACATCCCTGTCACTATTACAATGTCAGTTTCATCTGCTACATCTCCGTTTACACAGACTGACATTTTTTACGGTCTGTGTTTGTATTTTGTTTTGCATCTTTACTCAATCTATTTCTGGAGATAAAACAGGGGGATTTGTTTCTGCTTTTTATATTTAAGCTTGCTCTGGAGAAAGAAAGTTCAAATGGAATGAAACTAACATAAAATCGAATCTCTAAGACAAGCTGTAATGCTTCCTATTCTTGTAGCAGTTAAAGGAGATCTATGAGGTGAGTAATTTCCACTCATCCTCATAGTTAGAGCCGACCTATGACAAAGAAGCTGTCACAGGTCGGCTCTATCGATCAGGAAGTGAGCAGAAACATGCACCGATCCACTCACTTCCTGATCGTCTCCCTGCAGTGAGCGGTGACTGTCAGGCCTTGTTCACACCAAGCCCGTTCCAGGAGCAGAGCAGTTACAGACCGGAGCAAAACTGCGTCCAATGTATTCCAATGGTATTTTTAGCTCCAGTTCACATCGTTCCGTTCCAGAGCAGGTAAAAAAACTGCATCAGGCCCTATTTTACATGCTCTGGAACACATGTAAACGCATCAAAACGCATGCAAACGCCCTGGAACGTACTGAAAGCCCATTTTAAACTAATACAATTTTTTTTTTTTTTTACCAAAAAACGGCCCGGAACGCATCAAAAACGCGGCACAACCCACTGCACTGCGTGTGCAGAAACTCTGCATTTGGTGTGAACAAGGCCTCAGTCACCGCTCCCCGCAGGGATTCCCCCCTCCCCTCTCCTCCAGCGCTAAGTGGAGGAGCGGATGGGGAGGGCACAGCTGGCTCTGCCTCTAGATAGGTAGAGTCAGCTGTCACTCACGCAGCTGGGTGGATCCAGACAGTATTGTCAGGATCAGTCCCGGCTGCGGCGCTCACAGTATATCGCGGGCAATAGCCCATGATATACTGAGCTGCTTTGGGTCACGGGAGGACACTAGTCCCATAGTTCTCTTTTAAGGAAACACTTCCTACAGAGTCTACCTACAGTACTGCTTGTTTTGTATTTGTCTCCAAGATGTTACACAAGTTAATAGAATGACATTTATTCTGGGAGTGCAGCAATATACACAAACAAGTGTTTTGTACATTAAAATAAAAGTCAAAATAAATCTTTTACATCCTCTAATCACTAACTAACATTGCTATAGGGTTGATTTATTAAAGGAAAATTGGCTGTTCAATTTGCTTGGTGAATGTGCTAAAATTTCACTTTGCAGAGAATACCCAATCGAGTGCAAAGAAAAGGAGTTTAAAAAAAACGTTTTTTTTTGGCATATGATTGGATGATGGAAGTCAGCAGAGCTTCACTTCATTCACAAAACTAAGTGGAAACTTAGCCTGCAAAAGTGCAAATTCCCTTGCAAAGTCAACAGCATGTTTACCTTTAGTAAATCAACCCCTACGTCTCACTGGTAATAAATATGCTTCTTTGGATCATGAAGTTGGCTAATCATCTGGACAAACCAGAGAAAGGCATTTTGGTTCTGAACCAAAATTCAAAGAATGCAAACAAGATAGTTATTGTTGTGAGTGGATCAAAAGTGAGCAAAGTAATGTCTTTTTTTGGCCTCCAAAATGGATCCACTCAAATTCATCTGTCCAGAGCTACTGTATGTACATTTATGGGTCAAGTTTTACTTTTTCTATAGATGCCTCTGCCCTCTTATAAAGACACATCCAGCAGTCTATGGGCCTTTGTCAATGGACTTTTGTTCATTTGAAGCAGGTTTTGTATTCCCATGCAAATATGTGGGAATGCAAAACCAGCATGAAGCAGGTCAACTGCAGGCCAGAAGAAGGTCAGATGCCAGACAAGTGCACCTGTCAATTAATTCTGAATGATCTAAGAAACCTTTCAAACTGGTGTCAAAAGCCAAATGCCAGTCAACACAGGCTTCTGATATAATGGGCCTCATCCTGATAATATTTACCTGGTGAACTGAAAAACCATACAAGATATAATGACACTTGCAGAGAATAATTATATGTACTGTAAATTATCATGCTGCCATCCTATATTAACCTGCAGGGGTGCTATAGAGTATAGATCAGGGTTTCTAAACTTTAATAAAGGAGATACCCCTTTAGAATGGCATTATTTTATTCTAATTGTGTAATATTTTATTCTAATTGTATAGCTTTGTGTACCTCAAAAACCCCTTACTTAGCATGTGTACCCACGTCTGCATTCCTTTATGGTGTCTAACAGTCCTCAAAAAAATCTCTTATGTTTTAAATAATTAAAAATACTTAGATCTCTATTCCTTACCATGCACTTGTTTCTAAAATTGTAAACTGACATTCTGAATTTACTTTAACAGGCATTGGTACTTAGTGAACCTGTCCTAAATACCCCTTGGGATGCATCGATCAAAAATCATATTACAGATGCTAGCTGAAACTACTGATTCTAGTATTGACCTCGATTACGGAGCTCAAAAGTAACGGTGAATTCCACTTTTTCACAGCTGTGCCCATTTCAAACAGCAAACGGTATCGATGCAAAGTTCATTAAAACTATTTAAGAATCAAGGCAGTGTAAGATTAGCTTTCATTGCACATATGCTACTGAATATTATGGCTTTTTTTGTTTTATCAGTAGGGGATATCAAAGGAAACAACATTTTTTTAAAGTATAGGTTCACCTATATTATTCTCATTCACAGCAGATGTACTACCTTTTCTGTCAACTGTTAATCAGTTTAGGGTGATCAATAAATGTTATATTTTTCACTGAAAAGTACATTATGTACAATCCTTCCATTATGAACATCAAAAATGTGTCTCACAGGTCTACTAAAGTGTCATTTTTACATGAAATGTTAAATTATATCACCAAATCATTATGTAGTCTACAAGAGAGAGAGTGCCCTGATGTGATTTGCTATCTTCTCTGTGTTTTCTAAGTCAATTTGAGAGCGCTGAGTGACGCTAACTGAATTACACCTGCTTTGACTTACATTTCCTTTAACCACATAATTCGAGTCATTCTTGATGTCTCGGGCTAGGCCAAAGTCGCAGATTTTCGTTATTCGACCATGGGTGAGGAGAATATTTCTTGCTGCAAGGTCTCGGTGAATGCACTGTGAAAGAAAGAAAATGTTTTAGAACACTTACTAAGAAAGACCTACTTATCAGAAGAAAATGGGGTTTAATCACTAAGCTGCCGTAGGCAGCCGAGTGAATAACCGACCCGAAGTGAAGTGAGCCGAACGCTGTCCGGCTATTCACTTCAGGCTTGTACAGCTGATTTCAGCTGTACACCGACTAAAATCAGCCGTACTTTGGCTTGCTGCGGCTGGCTTCGGGTCGGCCAAACATGCTCAGCATGTTCGGCCGACCCGAAGTGCAGAAGGAGTTAGACTCAGCTGATCCAACATCTGGATCGGCTGAGCCGAACCTCCGGCAGGCTACTCGCTGCTGTTCGGCCTATTCTCATAGATGCCGAACAGCAGTGAGTGAATAGCCAAATGCCGCTCGGCTATTCTGCCCGGTACCTCTGTGGTACTGAGCAGAATCGAAAAACAGTTAAAAAAGTAGAAAACAATAAAATAGAAAATGATTGGGCGGAGCTAGCAGTAACAGCTAGCTCCGCCCAACTGTTTTCTATTGGCCGGGCGGTTCTGCTGCCGTCAGAATAAAAAAAAAAAAAAACACCATAGGAATGCATAGCTAGATTCCTATTGGATATTTCACTTTGCAATAGCCAATAGCAAGCTAGCATTGCACCCGCCCTCTGCTGCTGTCAATCACCAGAAGGGGACCTGATGGAGAACTGCAGGTCCCCATCTCAGTGTGTAATGACAGATGGCGTCCTTGGTTACCTGATAAGCAGGGACGCTGATCTCTCTACAAGTGGCCGGAGCCCAGCTGTAATAGAAAATAGCTTGGCGGAGCTAGCTCTCAGCTGCTCGCTCCGCCCAATCGTTTTCCAATTTATTTTGTAAAACTTTTTTTTTACTGTTTTTCTATTCTGCTCGGTACCACCAGAGGAGGCATTCGGCTATTCACTCACTGCTGTTCGGCATCTATGAGAATAGGCCGAACAGCAGCGAGTTGGATCGGCTTACTGGAAATCCTTCTGCACTTCGAAGTCTGACCCGAAGCCACCCGATGTACAGCTGAAGTGAATAGCCGAACAGTGTTCGTCTCACTTCGGGTCGGTTATTCACTCGGCTGCCTAAGGCAGCTTTGTGAATAACCCCCTTAGTCAACAGAATGAAACAATTTGAGAAATTCCCTGTAATACTGTCTCCACGAAGACATGTCCGTTCTAAAATGATCATGTACGAGGACCTTAACATGTCATTAAAGAGGGTTTCTTTGTCTCAGTATTATAGTAACTGTATCCCCACAACAAGTACAAATGTGGACATGTCCCAGTGTATTAACTCACATTTTTAGCCGCCAGGAAGTTCATGCCCTGTGCAACTTGATATGAAAAGCTAATCAGATCATCTGTATCTAGAGCTAAATCATCCTCTTCAGGCATTGCGATGTCTTTATCAACGTAGGATCCTGTTCAAGATAAACCATAAAAACAGTTATACAAAGATTTCAAACAAACATGACTCTGATCTAAGCAATCACCACTTAATCTGTCCATACAAGCAAACAAGGACTTTGCTACTGAGATTTCTGCCTAGTGAAACGTAAACAGAAAAATGTTAAGTTTGAAGAAATACAACAGTATTCATCAATGTGATTCATATAGCCCTCATGCTGGTATAAACTGTGTTTCTTTCAAAGAACGTTATGTGTAAATGCCAGCCAAAGCTTATTTCAAAGGAAATGGTCATTTATTTGGGTAGCAAAACAGCTCAGTGGTTAAAATGGCAAGTTCAGTTTGCCATTTTAGGCTCTTGGGTGAATCTCCCCCAAGGACACTATCTGCAGAGATTGTGTATATTCTCCATGTATTTGTGTGGGTTCTCTCTAAGAGGTACTGTTTTCTCAAGCATTCTATAAACACTGATAATTTAATTTAAAGTATATGCAAAACCAATCAATGTAATTTTTTTCAATATTTTTTATTCTGTAGCATTTAATAAAATAATAGCTGGTGACTTGTCATGAAGAGCCTTGTACAGACACTTCCTGTTAAAAGGTGAAAAAAACCTGTCCCTGTGCTCCTCCATGGTCAGCCAGTGGGGCTTTTGGCCATTTTAACACATTACACAGGCATGGTCCACTGCTGTCACCCATCAGGAAACCCGCCTTGAGTAATGCCATGCAACCGTTGCTGGAAAGCGTATATGTAGACAGAAAGTGGTTGCAAAGAAGCTGCAGGTAATCAGTAATATTAAGATGGATCAAAAATAAAAAAAAACGTAAAAACATTTTTTTTGTTAAATGGCAATTGCTTATGATACACAGTGCTTTAGAAAACTAACAGGGTTATTCACAAAAGGGTGGAGAGTTTGGAGAAGGCAGAAGAAGTGAACAATCTAGGACAACATAGCTGAACTGGAAAAATTCTCCAATTCAGCTCACTTTCCAGTTCGTCTATGTTCTCCTAGATTGTTCCCTTCTCCTGCCTTCTCCAAACTCTTCACACTTTTGTGAATAACCCTTTAAACCCACACAAGATATTCCCAACTATAATAGGGATCTTAGACTCTTATCTCTATTAGAGGCATGGACTCATATCTAATTTAAATCTATAAAAAGGAAAATAGTTTGTAAACATTAACAAACCCTGGTAATATGAAGCATGTTAACTAGGTCTTAAAAAAAGGAAACACAAATGTCACAATTAAGAGGATAAAAAGTGCGGGGTCATGGCATTAGTGAATAGCCGAACAGTGTTCGGCTCACTTCACTTCTGATCGGTCATTCACTCGGCTGCCCTCGGCAGCTTTGTGAATAGACCCCATAGTGTTGGTATATCAGTAATGATAAACCATCATTTGATTATAGATTTGTTTATTTTAAATGATCCTTCACTCAAAAACAATCAAAAAGGGGAAGGCAGGTGGGTTGTTGAGTGAGTTAGAAGTCTGACCATGCTCCTATATCTTATCAGAGTGTTTCAATTAATCTGTATGACACTGCAGGTGTTTTGAGGCTGATGACTATTGCGTTGGTAGAAATTTTTATTTCCACCAGAGACCATCACTTTTTTTTTAAGGAACAGCACTTGTTTTTTATCAGACGACCCATTTGAAGCAACGTCTTCCCGATAGTTTTGATTCTTTAATCAAAACGATTTGATATCAGGGTTTTCAAATGATTAAAAAGATAAAAGCTGATTGTTATCATGAACTATGAGTCTCACACATTCCTGGCTATAAAGTATTGGGATACACACAGATTGCAAGTTGGAATGGAACTCACCTGACTTCCTCTTGTCGGGTTTAGTTGGCACTACGTAAGGTACTCCTGGCTTCATGTCCATGTATTCACTCATCCCATCACTGTAAAACAAGAGGAAGAATAGGATTGAAAACATTGTCCTTGTTTACAACTCGTAAATGAATATTTCAAGAACAAAGACAAGGATATGTGCTGTTTGATTTGGCAGAAGAACAAGCATAACAAAAGACTTACATCCATATTCTTCAGCTCCAGCAGGATACATGTCTAATTACTGATTGCTGAAGCTCAGAGAGGCACCAGCACTGCTATCAACAAAGAGCCAGTGGAAGCTTTTATTCCTTCATACGTGACGTCCTTATATCACACCTGCGCTTTCTACGCGCTTATGTACCATATGGTATTTATATAAAGTTGCAGCATCAGAGCTGCCGTCCTACAAAGTCATTGCAGATGGCAAGAACAGAAGTTTTAACAATCAGATTGCATCAGTAAGAGAAGACAGCAAGTGATGAACAATAGATCAGTCCCAGGAGAAACGTTACACCAATGTGGTTTACACGAAACCTGACCCACTACAGAAGCCTTCAAAGGTCAAAGAGAAGACACTGTGCTCCTTTTATTCCTCAGAATGTTGATATGTCTGTATAGGAGGTATGTCTCAATAATGAGCAAAGAGCAAGAGTGTGCACTATAGTAATTGCGGTGGCTCACATTTAACTCGTAACTGCTAAAGGAACACTGTTCTTTATAGGTTGTTACCTTTAAAACTCTATTAAGTTCTTTTTTCATCTAAGCTGACCATTTTCTATGTATAATATACATAACTATGGAGTTTTCTGTGAAACAATTGCTGTTTATGGCCTCTCCGTTATCCTAGCAATCACTAGGATGTGAAAGACTTGATAAAACTAGGACAGTGTGTGGCCACTCACCCTCATGCATAGCATGTACAAGCACACAGTTTCAAATGTATGTACAGCCAAATGTTTTAGATACAGTAAGATAATCCCTGTCAGTTTATATTTGGTTGTCTGTGTCCCTTGGGGGAGATTTTACTTCCTATCCCAAATACTTAACAGGAAGTGAGAAGAAATCCATCACACATTAGAAGAAATCCCCCTCTTAGAAAGTTGTTACTGGAACAGGTGTCCTCATTGGGGAGATGCCTCCTCACTTCCTGTTCCAGTGACCATTGTTACAGCAGAACATGTATCCCTGAGGGCACGGAGGGGAAATATGCCAAATATGGACCAACGGCAGTACAAAAATGACACAGGTTCCGATTTATCCACAATGTACAAATACAGTTTATTTACATTTCTAACCCCCCCCTCATTGTCTGGGAAAAATCTCAGGGGACAAAAAACAGAGCACAAAACTTAAAAAAAAATATTTGGCCTGGAGTGTAAGTACTTGAATTTGACCTGGTATCAGCCTTTTTTCAGTACTTAGTAGAGCAGAACTCAGACTGAAGGGGGGGGGGGGGGGGAGCAGCACAAGAAGTCAGTCAGTGCTAACAAGGGACATGCTAATAGGAGGAGAGAGCAGAGTGTCAAGAGATGAGCTCATTAACCTGCTGCTTCTCTTTTTACTCTCCAGTCACAGGCTATGCGACGGCACGTACAAGAGAAAATCAGGTCTTCTATCCTGCCAGCGCTGTGCTGTGTAAATCTCAGAACTGGATGGACAGAAATACAAATTCTTTGACAGGTAAAGCAGCTCTCATATAGGCATGTCATCTGGCTTGATGAGTTGTTTGCCCAGAATTCAGTTTTCAAAGCATGTGCTTGCTCACCAGACATTGTTCCGTGAATTGAGAAGATTCTTATACAGTGCTGTTTCAGAATGATCCTCAAATTTCGGGCAAATGAAGGAATCGCGCTTTCTTCTCAAGTAATTCAGAAGGTCTCCATAGCAGCAATATTCAGTGATGACAAGAGTTGGACCTGGTGAACCAAAAAAGGTACACACATTTAATGAATGTGAACAAACTATGCACACAGAAGGGTGACACTTCAGTACACTGAGATATGGCCGCATCAAATCTCATAAGAGAAACAAATGGATTTTCAGTGTCAACTCATTACCCTCCAGAACTATGAGCAGGCAGGGGATAAACCATGAGAGGGTCACAAGATCTTTGTGGTATATGTTACATACAAGACACGCCTAAGACAAACTGATGTTCCTGCTGAATGCTCATCTCATGTATGTAGGCCGTGATGCCCGAGTTACAAAAAGGTCACGTTTTTCTATAGATGTAAGTTCCACAAATGAAAAATATGCATTCTCTAATGATTTCATGATAATAATAATAATAGCGTATGATAAAACCCGCCTGTTATAATAACTTCATGATAATAAATATTTTATAATAAAACCTGTCTTTTAAAATAATTTCATGATAATAATATTTTATGATAAAACCTGCCTTTTATAATAATTTAATGATAATAATATTTTATAATAAAACCTGCCTTTCATAATAATAATATTTTATGATAAAACATGCCTTTTATAATAATTTAATGATAATAATATTTTATAATAAAACCTGCCTTTTATAATAATTTCATGATAATAATATTTTATGATACAACCTGTTTTTATAATAATTTCATGATAATAATATTTTATGATAACACCTACCTTTTATAATAATTGAAGACAGTTAATAAGCCTAAACTGCTTGATTGTTTATGACACAATGCATGACACAGGAAATTTACATTATAGCAATTCCAGCTCCATTTGTTTTTCACTAGAAAGTTTAGTGGTTAGGAACTGGAAGTTAACATACGATGGGTTCCTTTAGATATGCAGGCTGACTTACTAAAGGAGTTGAGAATCTTCACTCAATAAATTGTAGCCGTGTTCACTTTGAATATCCAATCATGTGCAGATGAAAAAATAAACAGGAGTTTGCTTCTCACATGATGGGAAAAATGATGGAACCTTCACTTATATAATTGAATAAAGATGTTGAACCCCTTAAATCAGTCTGCGTATCTCCAGTTTTCCTTTGCCCTCATTTTTTTTTACATGTGCCACTTAGTTCACAATGCAAAGATTCTTAGTGAAATGTATGGCTGATTCAATGGGGGTGATTTACTAACCTAAACACACACACACACCAGGTGTGTGTGATTTTCACACAACAAAACGTATTTATCAACCAAAAAGTCTCTAAAAGCATATTTCCACTAATGCCATATATGGAAAAATCATGCACATGATGCATATATAATGCTGCTTCACAGTTTAGACAAAAATGGTTAGCTCATGCATTTACATGCCTTGCATTCATCAACGCAAGCAACACAACATAGAGCTAATTTACCCAACATCACCTTGGAATTCATTCAGGGCTTTGCACAACACACCTGCTGGGTGTGTACACATTACAAAGGTGTTTAGATTCCACCCATAGATCATGCTGGGAGGGAACACACTGCAGAGGTGTATACACGTTCGTGGTGTGTTTATAAGGTTAGTAAATCAACCCCAATATGTTGCAAACAGTGATGAGCACAGAGTGATCCAGAGTGATACGCACAGAGTGATGAGCACAGAGTGATCCATACCAACCAATCAGATTTTAGATGAATGCAGATGGTATCAATCTTAGCTTGTATTAGTCACATTCAAATGGACTTGTTCTGTAATGTTAAAGGGGTTTCGTAGCCAATTACAAAACTGAAGAATAAGCTACAAAACGTCGTTAACATTACAGTACAAGTCCATTTGAATGAGACCAACTACTACCAGTTATACTGGGGGTAGACAACCTCAGAACGCCAGCTGCCTCATGAAATTACTAGCAATGCTTCATGGAACTACTAGTTCCACAACCGCTGAAGTGCCGAGATTGCCTACGCATAAGCTATACCTTGACCATGACCTGGACATACATATCTGTTTTAGATATGCTGCTAAGGGCTACAACAAACTATGTTAGCAGAATAAATGATGTTATTGTATTATTTATTTCATTTCATTAGTTGAGCTCCCTGACATTGGTTATTTGTTTCTTTATTGGTTCCCAAGCTAAAACAGTCTAAGGACTTTCAATCCAAGTCACTGATGTTAAGTGGTTTGGGTTCAGGCTTATTCAGTGTTGGGAATCCAGGAAAACAGGACACAGAAAGGTCAACAGATAGGGTACTTGGAAAACATTTTTTATACTGGAACTCAATAGGTACTACAGAAGAATGTAATGATTAATGCCTAAAGAGTGCAAATTACATTGTGTTCTAAGCACTGCGGACCAGCTGAAGGAGAGCAGAACATGTTCAGGCCACATTCTTAATAGAAGTGGTGAAACGTTTGAAGACGCCGATGGAACAATGTTAAAGCTCTACTTTTCTCATTCAAATGGTGTGGATATCTTGTGCAACTAAAAAACAAATGGCGTGAGTATGCGCGATCATGTGAGAGTTTCCACGATTGTTGTTCATGATATCAAAGTGGTTTTAAAAAGGGGAATTGGAAGTGGGGAAAGGTTATAACAGCCTCCAGGTTTTGTTGCAGCCTTGGTTCACACTAGGGAGACATCTTATTCATTTAAGATTGTAAGCTTTAACTGCAGGGCCCTCCTTACCATCTTGTCTTGATTTGTATTTTAACTGTAATGTCTGCCTTATATTGTAAAGTGCTGTGCAAACTGTTGGCACTATATAAATCCTGTATAATAATAGTAGTAATAATAATAATAATTTCCTGTCTCATTTACAGGCACTCAGAGGGACAGGAAATGATGGGTAATCTCTCAACTGGAGACAATAAAAAACCCTTTTTCATAGTTCATCAGGTAGGAAAGAACCTTGGTTAGATGTGTTTTGCTGTCTGTGAATCATGTCCTATTGACTTTTATTCCCAAAATTTGTTATGATAAGGAAAAGATAAAATACAAAAGCTCATAACGCTAACTTCTCCTTCATTAAATGGAAACTGGAGAATGGAGACTCACCCCAAACAGTGTTGGTACCTGCTACCATAGACATACTCGCAAAAAAAACTATATTTAGGTAGAGCAAAAAGGCCTGCAGCTGTCTTCCGGATTGTAAACAATTTATTAATAGGAATTTATTAATAAATATTTATTATAAATCCTACAAGCTTACTTAGACCATATAGTATCAAACTCTACCAGCAACGCACACCTACTATATAGTCCTGTTTATTTTTAGGTGTGTGTTGGTGGTAGAGTGCCCACACTTCCTGTCTGGTGTTACTGAGACAGGGAAAATCTTCCCAAATGGGTCACATACAAGCAAATAAACCTGATAGAATGTGTCTTAACCCTCTCTGGCTGAAATGTAATGTGGGCTTTCTTTTATAAAATAAATCATTAAAAAAAAATAATTAAAAAAAAGTTACTCAGTATAACAGAAGGCAACCAATTCCTGTCCCTTCCCCCACATAAAGTAATACTGTGTGCCATAGCTGCATGTCTGAGGTAAATAGCATGTGACTGAGACACTTGCTTGCAGAGCAAATAAACAAAGATACCAGGTAAAGAGCTGAACGTAGACAAAGCTGTGATCACTACTCTTTGGTCATAAAACACGGCTACTTTCATGGCAGCGTCACACTGACACTGTATGCACCTCATAAAGAAAACCTGAGAAAGTGAGAGGATGGAGATTACTTTTTCTCTGCACTGGCCCATATGTACTGGCGAGAGATGCTAATTAGGGAAATCAAAGGTTACACGTCTCAGTCTGAATAAGAATGATGATGCTTTTATTATGCTTCCGCAATGAACAGCACAAGCCTACATAACAGCGTTTTACTTGTTGCTGGCTCCATGCAGGCTTAGTCACACATTAAGGCTTAAGCCATCCTTGCAATTAAGTGATTATCATTAACCCCTTAGGCATCCAGGTGGCTAATGTAGTATATGTTTTCCTACGTCTGTGACAGCACTGTTTAATCCCTTTTATGAGCTCCAAAAACAAAAGCAACTTATTTAAAATATTAAAAAAATTAATCTAATCTGAGGCATGGCTCATATAGGAAAGGCAGAAGCGGCAATACAAGAGGTCTCTGTAGAATTTTTAGTAAGCTAATCAGATGTAATATGGTATAAGATAGAAAAGATAATTGTAGACCTAAAAGGGTGGCAGGTCATCTGAAAGTGGAATGGTCTTTTCTACCCCTGATGATTATCTATGCATTTAGCACCGCCATGTAATGTGACTGGCATGTATCAGGCTGGACAATTATGTGATCCTGTCAAAATGGCACAGGGCATTTCTTATGGATACCCAAAATATGGCGAGATTGCTATCTGGGGTGTAGACACTACTAGAGAGCAATTCTTGAGATAGGATTGTTTTTTAATAATTTAAACCAAATGTAAATACAATGTAAAGCTAGCAGCAGACATTACATTGTATTTTGATGATACAAAACATTCCCAAACAAAGTTGTTAGGAAACAAATTCCCAAACATTTGGTCAGTCGTGCATTTCCACCTATGGGGAAGGACTGCTAGATACCCCTGGTGCTGCCTAAGAAAGTGTATCCAAGGAATGTTTGGAGAGGTTGGGGAGTGTGTAGAGACATACAATTCTTAGGTTATATCCTTACATTCCCCACAAAGTTAATGTAATGAAGGAACTTCTTTGTAAGAGTTTAGCCTTAGATAGTATTGCTTGTTAGTGTCCAGCTTCCTCCATTGTTACTGTAAAGAAAGCCAAGTTTTTAGCTCATGTAATATAAATACGACACAATGCTTTGCCTCATACAGGAAGCCACGCACAGTGTTTCACAGAACTCCGTAGCACTGACATCTTTATCTTGTTGTTTACTAAAATAGGGAAGTCCCAAAAGCCAATATATGTTGACCACAGCTTCCCACTGATAGCCTGAGAAAGTAGCAAGTATTGCAAAGCTCCAATGATAGTAAACAATCTGCAAGGTACAGAAATGTCATATTATAGGATAGGAAACCTTCATTGTGTCTATATCACTCATTTTACCAGGTTCTATTTTAGAATGCTGGACTTTTGGAAGAAAATTATTATCTTTAGTTAATAATAGATGGCAGTTCCCTGTAACATACAGATATTAGTTCGATGCTGAAAGCATATACTCATTTACCTCCGACAGTGCATGCGCCAAGCAGATTCACAATGTTTTTGTGATGACCCAGATAGCTCAGTACTTTCAGCTCCGACATAAGAGCTTCCCTCTCTGTGGCATGGGCACTTGCTGCAATGACATTGAGAGATTTCATACAGCATTAGACATCAAGTCCAAGTAACATCTGAAGACATTATGAACGACTATTAAATAACCACAAGACTTACGTTTTAGCATTTTAACAGCAACGGTCAGTGTATTGTCATTCTTATGGAGCCCGTAGGCAGTTGCTTCAACCACTTTACCAAAAGCACCAGCACCCAGAATCTTACCTATTAAAAAAAATATAGATCTTTAAAATACCTATTAATACTACATTCATTCTAATATTAATAGCAGAATACCTAAAGAAATAAAATACAGGAAAGGCAAAACAACCTAGAACATTGAATACCCAATGTACATGGGCTGAGCACCTGGATACTTTTATAAAGTGTACCTAATAGAAATGCTTCATTGTTTAAAGTACATCTAAAAGACAGACATAACAGGAAGTAAGAAGAAATGTCTGCAAAGTGACTTAGTTGTGATGACAACAAGTGGTTGTGATGACAACTTAGATAGTTGTCATTACAACCAGTTTTCTTCTTGAAGGATTTCTACTCTATTCCTGTTCCAGAGACAACTGTAATATTTGTAAATTCTTTGGTCATCGGGACATAGAGCGGGTAAATCTTTCCAGTGGGTATGTAGAGAGCAATAAAAACCTGAAGTTCTAACCCTTATTACTAGAGGTGCACCGAAATTAAACTTTCAAAACCGAAATAGAAAAAAATTGCCAGGCTGAAATGGAAACCAAAAATGTTTTTTATTTTTTCAAATTTTTAAATTAATTTTTTTATAAACTTTTTAATTTTTTTATATTTAATAATTCATTTTTTATTAAATATTTTTATGTTTTAATTTACTTTTAGGGGCTTCAGGGAAATATTATGGGTCTAAACAGACCCCTGATATTTCCCTTTTAAAATAGAAAAAGAGATTGAGGACACAAAGTCCTTAATCTCTTTTTCTGTATCCTCTGTTATCAATGAACAGGAATCCTCTATGAGTGTTCCTGTTCATTCATAACTTGAGGACAGAGTATGTTTACTATATCCACAATCATGAATGAACAGGAGGTGATGTAGATTACTCCCAATCATTCATAATTGAGGATATAGTACACATACCATGTCCTCAATTATCTACAAACACTCAGCGATCACTGATCGCTGAGTGTTTGTACCGCTCTCCTCTGTGACACGCTGTCACAGGAGGCTGAGCGAGCGGTGCAGGGGGGAGAGCTCAGCCTCCTGTGACAGTGCGGGCTGTCTCCGCCCACACATCGCTCTGCCGGACTGTGATAGGAGGCTGAGCGGTGTGGGAGAAGAGACGCCGGCTGCTCACAGCGCTCACCTCCCGCAGCGCTCGGCCGGCTGTCACACTTTCTCTCCTCCCTGCTGGGACACAGAGCAGCGTCCAGCGAGGAGGAAAGAAACCAGGATGTGCCGATGTATCGGCAGGAAAATGGCACTTTTGGCATTTAGCCAAAAGTGCAGTTTTTGGTCGTTATGTTTTGGCGGCCGATATATCGGCGCATCCCTACTTAAAGGAGAACTATAAGGTGAGTGCTTTTCACTCACCTCATAGTTGTAGGCGACCTGTGACAATGAGACTGTCACAGGTCGGCTCAGTAGATCGGGAGGTGAACGAACATATACCGGCGTTCGCTCACCTCTCAATCCTGTCACGGCTCTCTGCCGTGACAGGGGAGGGGCTGGATTCCCCCCTCCCCGCTCAATATATTATAGATACTTTGTGATCGGTTGCAGAGTTACTATGTGATCGGTTGCAGAGTTTTTAAATGTGGTTGATTCCCATGTGGTGTTAACACCAAATAGTAGGATCCATGTAGTATGTTTTTACACAGCCTATGCAGCTCTCACTGCTACTTCTGTCAAACTAAGAAAGAAGAAACGTCTTCGTTTTTTTTCATTGAAATACTTTTGTGCTGAGATGGAGGAGCACAAAATACTGTCATAACATACAGTAACTTTGTAGTATAATACACTTACCAAAGCACAATCTGTCTCTAGGGAACTCCCATTTGTTGTCATAGGGAAGTTGTGTTGGGTCAATATAAACATAATTATTGCCATTGATTTCTTCCACTACCTTCCACTGTATCTCATACTTTGGTTTCTTTTATAAAAAGAAAGAACACATATAAAATTATTCATTTTTTCCCCACCAGCAGACACAGGATGATCCTGTTTTGGAATTTGATAAATGTACCATACCTGCATGTATTTGTACATGAGAATCATCATTAAAACACACATCACTGCCGCAGCCACTATGAAGCCAATTAACAATGGAGTGAACAATGTGTGGGGACTCAGTTTTTCTGAAAGAGAAGATTAGAGAACAGTTCAACATTTCAATTTACTTAAAAATATAAACATTTGGTTTAAAATGTGTTTTTGTTGTCTTACACTACAGAACATATTATAAGCAGATCCATTGCTCCCTCATCACAAAGGGATACATATCCTAAAGGTCTTGACCCTTTAGACACATACAGTCACAAATACGGCAATTGGAACTCCAGTCAGCTATAAAAATGTTCCATGTGGGTCCTCCCAGTCCCTCCCCTATATTAAAGATCTAATGCTCACATAGTCTAAAGGGCATGTAATTGACAGAATTACTTAGCTCAGTACTCCAGGCTTCCTCACAACTAGTTCCAGTATGGACAACCAGTCTCACAAAGTTGTTCCTCTTTTTGGGTCATTTCCCCTACCCCCCTCGCCAAGGTCATTATGCACAATGCATTCCAGGAGCCACCACTGATGCTGCATTGTATATGATGAGCTTAGGTGCTCACCCACATTACAGGGCTTGGGCAAGATCAAATAAGTGCGCCATCTGCCATGTGGCTGAGAAATAAGGCAAGTATTCCTTGGTATTAAAGCCTACTAAACAATCATTAAACTATTAATATGTAGTAAAGGTAGCGCACCCCACCCACTTTTTTAGAGTTGATCAGCTTTAAGACAGCAAAAAGTACAAAACAATGTTTTTTGTTTTTTTTTGTTTTTACTATAAATACATTTATTTTATGTGTACAAAATTATGTTGAGTAAAAATACATATGAAATGTGTATGTCTTATTATATCTCTCTAAATAAGACCCACTGGCTCTTTGTTTTTCTCAAAATTCAATGTAAGGCAGCGAGTGCAAAGAACACCACAAGATCTCAGTAAACTCAGTAAATTACCGTTAATTGCAAAGCTGAAGCTGGACGAGATGCGTTCCACATCATTGTATACGATACACTGGACGGTACCATTTTTCCTGATGGCGCTTACATCTAGGGTGCTTTCCACCACCATACGGCCCATAGATGAATTTTCCTGGCTGAACTTTACATCAGAGGGGGTGATTCTTGGAGAATCTGTACACCTGCAATAACAATACTGTGTCATTTTTCCTTTATAGGGTCCTAACGTCACAGAGTACATGGAAACATTTCCAGGTGTTGTTACACAGTATGGAAAATAAAATACCGACCCTGTGACACCATGCCTTCATTTATATAGTCAGATAGGTCACAAATCAGACAATACAACCTGCAAAACAGCTTATTGTGTCTCCACCACAGTGCAGGATGACATATTAGTAATTGTGCTAATGAACACAGTATCTCGATGCAGTGCTTAAAAAGATCCTTTGTCAATAATGCATGGATACGTAGGCATAGACAATGTCTGGATGTCAATCAGAAAGCAGCCAGGACACCTAACTGTCTGCTCCTCTGAAAATAACATTTTATTTGATACATCTGCAGGCATTTAGCCTTAAAATGGAACTCGCTAATATGTGATAACCCGAGTTTTGACACTTCATGGAATATGGCAAATGGCTCTGTATTAAGGAAAAACTGCTTGAGGAAAAATCTTTAGACATAAACATCCATTTGGGTGGTGATCCCCCTTAAGACCCTGTTATGCTCATTCTATTACAACGCCATGTGGCAAGTAGGCATATGTATTTTTGCTCAGAACAGTCTGTAAATGTGCAGTTTACTAAAATCATACATCTAACATCATCAGATAAATAAAATATACTGCACGTTTTTTCTATATATTGCTATAATAATTGTGAATAAGCTGTCATATATTAATTTTGCATACCGCTGCTCAGATCCTGGACAGAAAACCCATTCAATGGAGGGCACAGGGAAGCCAGCCGCCACGCACTGCAGTACGCCAGTGCTAAGTCTCTCAGCAATTAGGATTTCTGGTCTTGCTGTGAAAATATAAAAGAAAACCCGGGATTAAAACCTTACAGTTAAAACTACACAATGATTGGCCACTGTGAGAGAGTCGAAGTATACTTACTTTTGACAAATATGTTGAAGCTGACTGAAGCGTTGGCATCCGAATTGGAGGCATAAAAAGTATAAACTCCTTTCTCATTGCCTTTCAGTCGGATTAGGTTCAGCTTACTAACATACCTAATATAAACAGAGAAGAATTAGAATTAAATCTTTAAGAGTTGGAATGATAAAGTATTCTGCCTTCATGGCTTAGAAATATGATTGGTTAAAACTCGACCACCTTCTAAACTGCATCAACCGGCTTCAAGATGCTTTTGCGGCCCCATTCACTTGTATGCGGCGATAAAAGCCCACTGGCACAGGCCCTAAGGCTTTCCCCTACTTCAATAAAGCTGCCAGATTAGGGAACTTTGGTTCTCCAAGCCAGACATTTAGGAAGATTCTATTTTTATAGTTTATCCCAAATTAGAATATACAGTACCTATTATTACTTTACCTGTTATTGCCAGTATCTCGTGACTCTACAAAGTGGTCTGAAGTGTTCAGAAGGGTTTCGTTCATGTAAGTCCAATACTCTTCATCAGGCGGGGGGTAGGCATAAATAGTAACCTGCAATTGGATGTTGTCTCCAGCATTTAAATCAACTGTAGTGTTGTCAGTGACGTTAAGGTTTAGGTATCCAAATTCTAATAAGGTAACAAAATCAGATATGAATAGTAATAGTAACAGTAATAGTTTACAGCAAAGCAATTCATAAAAAATTTAATTTTATAACAGGCAATCAAGTACATAAAAGAGCTATTCATAATTGCAGGAAGCCAAGACAAACAAACGAGAATCCATCTTGTAGTAGTTTGATTTAATCAGAGTAAACTCTGACTGGCTGCTATATTTTTCTGGATTCAAGAATTATCATTTGAGAAAGGACACTCTTTACTGAATAACATAGTGAAAAGAGCAATGATGAGATGCTGTTAATGCCTGGAAGACAATAAGATTTAGGGCTCATGTTGATGGGCGTTGTTTTCCTGCATTTGATGTGCTTTTGGAGCACACGTTTAATCCAGGTCAGCAGGTCCGGGTCTATTGAATTTCATTGAGCAGTACACGTGACGGTTCAGAGGATGCGTCTGACCTGTTTTGAGTTGCGTTTCTATAGATGCATGATGTCTTTTTATTGAACTGCAGGCAATGCAGATAAAATCCTGCCTATTTTATTGCAAATGCTAATGTTTTCATTTGGTCCCTACCAAATCTGGTTGGTATGGGCCAATACTACTTGCACATGGTAACTGCACTTTGCACTCTCTTATTAAACCTTCCTGTACAAGTTGATCTGTATTAGGCTGCTTGGCTGTTCCTGTCACTAGACGATTATGGGGTCTATTTAACCCTCTAAGGTACGGTACCAATGCGCAAACCTATGTCTGGCTGTTTTGTCAAATGCAATGAAAATCATCTTTGAAAGAACATCTCGGCAATACAGTCAAACATAAACTACAGGGGTACTGCTCTCGTGTTCAATAAAGCCTACAAACAAGGAAACAGGGTCACTTTGTCTATGCTCCACTCACCCCGATACACACAGGGTTCAGGCAGCTTCAAAAATAGATATCTACACAAACTCTAAGAAGGCAAAGTTAACCTTATGACTCAAAATGTTTAAAGCAAGAGCTTCTTCTTTTACTTTACACACAATAGATAGCAAAAGAATAAACTGACAGGTTGCTATAGCCAGCAAGATAAAATGTGTCAGATAGCAAAACTGGCCATAAACACTCTCAGCTATAAGTGTACAGCCCCAGACATGTGACTGATGACTACATAGGGTGATAGATATCAATACAAAGAAGAAAGAAGTGGAAATTAGTGGTAAATGCAGGTCATCAGCTTAGATATAGATAAATGACGTTTGTAAGGTAACATCGGTGAGTCTGCTAATAATATTTTGCAGACATACAACAGTTACTTACCGAGAACTTCCAATGTGAACGTGACATTCACTACACCAATGCTGTTCTTGGCTTCACAGGTGTAAATACCAGATTCATTATACTGAACGGCTCGGCTGCTCAGAGTGCTGTTGCGTTCAAAATTGGCAGCGGAAATAAACTGGCTCTTTTCAGTGGTAATCTGCAATTAAATCACTGAAATTAGCTATTATGATGAAAAAACTATTCATTATGTCAAATCAGAAGTCTCTGAAGAAAGGCCCTGACAAGCTGTCTGCAGAAAGTAGTTTTTCAAAGAACTGGATAATGACAGATGAAACGATAATGACAACAATGCAGGTGGCTGTATGATGTAGAAGAGTTTGTTACTAAGATATGGCTGATTATTAAATCACCTTTGCAGCTTCATTAAAATATGCTAATTACACACAATTGGCCTGTCCTATCTTTACATGAGGACAAAAGGAAAGGAACAACATGAAAAATAGGAAATGGAGGATGATCATGCCGCAGGGAATATGGAGAGAGAGGGAGGAAGGAAGGAAGAGGGGGGCTAAGAATATTGTGAAGGTTCTCCAAGATGTCAACGCTAATTATGGCAGGGAATGTGAAAGGCACGTTTATAGACAATATATCATGCCAGGTATGGCACACAGCAATCAAAGTGTATTCATCATTTAAAGGGTGACATCAGTTCAAGACAAGATGGTAAGGAGGGCCCTGCCCCTGAGGGCTTACAATCTAAACATATACAATACTGGTTTCTTTTAAAGTAGACCTATACAGGCAGTCCCCGGGTTACGGATGTCCGACTTCCAGACAATCCGTACTTACAAACGGGGTCCACAGTGGCTGCAGTGGCCTGTGTCCTTTCAAATCCCCGCGCCTGTGTTGGTGGGGACACAGACCGCTGCATACCGCCGATGCCCCACGTACCTCCGCTGATGTGCCGGATTCCTCTTCAGCCGTTCCGTCGGCTTCCCCGGTCCGGACGATCCTCCGGTCTCCTGGTCTGGCCGCGGCTCCTCTGCCCCGCACCCCTGCCTACTCTTCATTGCAGGCTGGGAGCCATACCCAGCCTGCTATTGGATATTGTAAAATGCAATAGCCAATAGCAAGCTGGCTATTGCACCCGCCCACTGTCTGCTGTCAATCAGCATGGGGGGACCTGATAGAGAACTTTCTGCTTCAGGCCCCTCCTCTGCTGATTGACAGCAGGCAGTGGGCAGATGTAATAGCCAGCCTGCTATTGGCTATTGCAATTTGAAATATCCAATAGCAGGCTGGCTATGGCTCCAATCATTAAAATACAAAAAAAAAGTTTAAAAAAAGTTTTAAAAAAAATTAAAAAGACAAAACATTTTTTTTAAAAAGTAAAGAAAAAGTTAAATAACTAAAAATTTAAAATGCAAACAAATAATAAAAAATAAAGTTTATAAAATAAAAAAAAAATAGAAAAAAACTTTTTTTGCTGTGTCACTTTAAATAAAAAAATGTTTTTAATTATATTATAATCTTCTGAACAACAGGAACAGACAGCAAAAGAACTGTGACCCTTCCCTATGCTATACAAAAACCCCAAAAACAATTTTGGCTGGAGTTACACTTTAAAAATGTACCTGTTCCGACTTACATACAAATTCAACTTAAGTACAAACGTAAAGTCCCTATCTTGTATGTAACCCGGGGACCGCCTGTACTCATCTCCCCTTTCCAGTGCTAACATCTTGGCCTGGTTTTCTTCTGGGAATGGCTACCATCTTAATGGGCATAACTCTTGCACATGAATGTTGGAGTGCATTCATCCTGGCACCCAGCAGATGCCAGGATTGTACACTGAGCTGCACATGACCAGCTCAGTGTATATTCTCAAGACAATTGTGAATCAGCAGGTGAGAATCCTTAGGGCTTGTACACACCAAATGCAGACCAGATCTGCATGGGTTTCTGCACACGCAGTGCAGTGGGTTGTGCCGCGTTATTGCCGCGTTTTTGATGCGTTCTGGGCCGTTTTTGGTAAAAAAAATTTGGTTTAAAATGGGCTTTCAGTGCGTTCCAGGGCGTTTGCATGCGTTTTTGATGAGTTTGCATGTGTTCCAGAGCAGGTAAAATAGGGCTTGCTGCAGTTTTTTTACATGCTCTGGAACTGAACGCTGCGGTGTGAACTAGAGCCCAAAATACCATTGGAATACATTGGACGCAGTTTTGATCCGGTCTGTAACTGCTCTGCTCCTGGAACGGGCTTGGTGTGAACTAGCCCTTATGGTAGAAGAGACATAGTATGCCTCTTCTGTCTGGCTATTGGCAAACTCGTGCTTTAATGATCTATAGCTCAGTAAATTAAGCCCTACACTGACAATGGCAAATACTTGTCCAGCTATTTACAAACCTCCAGGCATTATAGATTACGCCATACACAGCCTAATCATTCCTTTGCTATTGAGGAACAAGTACGGTATGTCACTTTACATAAACCCTAACATCCGTCAGCCAAGTCAGAGATAAGTATGTGCCAGGTACAACTGATAAAACAATAAAATCGGGAACAGGCAGATGCCTCTCCATCCATCATTCTCTATGAACATCTACCTGCTTGCGGCCAGTTCTGGATACATTCTGGACAGATTGGTAGAACAATGGAAACAGCAGCTCTGCAAGAGCACAACCTTTCAACTCTGTAACCAAGATGCTGTAAACAGAGATGGCCATAGTAACAGGCACATGAGCATTCAAAACAAACTTGCAGGCTTTTCCTGAAATACAGTACCCATGTCTAAACAATAACAGCAAGTTCAGTAGACAGCTAGGCCAGTGGCAGGATGTTAAAGCTAACTTACAATTAGCCCTCTGGCAAGGAATCCTGTGCGTAATT